TAAACCACGGGGGACACCTGCATCGACCTCGGCACTGCTTGATGGGAACAGATGCAGCAATAGCTAGGTTTAATGTATTGCAGAACGATGACAATAAGCTTTCAATACTTTCTATTGAGAAGTCAAGCCTCATATGTGAAAGACGTTGTTTTAGCAATATAATATTGATTTTATGAAAGTCATAATATTTATTTAAAAAAGTTTCATTTGGCACCTTAAGGCAGTTCAACAAACCATTATTCTTATGATGAAAGGAAATGCACATTGATGGATGACAAGGATGGATCCTCAGGTAAACTAAAAGGTGGACAACGATTTACGTTAATCTCGGGAAAATTGGCAAAGCAGAGTTCAAGCAGTCTACCATTACAATTAGGGGTACTGTTATATTGACCCAAATTATGATCAAACAATTCATTAAAGAACACAACAGCCCCATCAGGCGCTGAAGTAGGACTCAAACAGCTAGAATTATCATTGTTACACCAAGTGACTTGAGGCAAGTTGAAGTAACCCAATGCAACGACCAAATCGGTGGGAAATATCAGAATTTGGGGGAATATAGGAGCAGGTTATAAATAGATGTTTATTAAGCTTTTTCGCAGAAATGGCGATAAATTCAACGACAGGAGAAGTGGGAAATTCAATTGAATGGGACGGGACTGACGCAGATATGGCAATTAATACACCACCACCAATGCGATTCACTCGATCATTTCTAAAGACTTGAAAAGAATTATGAAAAAGTTATGACGAATGAAGATCGGGTTTTAGCCAAGTTTCAGTGAAGGCCAAACAGAAAAAGTCCGTGCTCACTGAATTTAGAAAAGTAGAACGAGTTTTTGAATTTAGGCCCCTAACATTTTGATAAATGAGATATAATGGGCTTGAAGAAACATTTAGTTTTTTGAAGGCGACAAGACTATTGCCTTGGTATTACGTGGACGATCTCTAGGGAGATAAATTCCTTTATTAAGGATCCTACTGGCCACAGTGGTTTGTTTAACAACATATCACTGTTTTCAGTCGGAACTAGTATTTTAAAAGAGGAGATTACCCTAGATTAAGAAGAAGCCATTTTGAATATGCTAACGCGCTTTAAGTTGACTGATGGGACTTTCGCCGCCAGACAACTTTTTATGTTATCCACCGATGTTTCAGGTGCCAGTGTTGACATATATATTGCTTTTCATGTGTTTACTTGCAACAGGAGGGATCACGGTTGAGGTGTTTAGACTTGGGAAGAATAGAGATGGCGTTATCGCCTTTGCACCAGTCTGGTGACCAGCCTTTACATTCGAACAGCCAAGGGGAGAGGATGATTTATTTTTCTCTTCATTATTTTTCGGCAATGGCGCTTGATTAGAGTTAGTGCCGGCACTGGCAGGATATACCTCTGCCAGTTCAGCGTTGCTTAAAACAGAAGAACTTGCCGGCTTGTTTGTAACTATTTTGCTACCGACCGACTCAACAATATCGGAAACATTAACGTTCATTTTAGAGTTAGAGGGAGCGGTAACTTGTGCCGACGAATCAGATTTAGAGGAACTCACCGGTGACGTCCCACATGCTACGCTACGAGTTGTTATTTTTCTGGCTTGGGTAGAAGATGAGTGCTCAATAAAATGACACTCATCAAACCTAGACTTAATTAGCTCAAACTTCTTCCGCAAGGAGCCGAGATTTTTACTCAATTCCGAGAAACCATTTCGCGACTTCGAGAAAGGTTTGTAAAAATCAATGTCCCGCTGCCTGCCATCTTACGCCTTCAGAAGGGTCAGTGACTGCGTTATCAGCACGGCCGAGAGTACCGGCACACTTTGCATGACCAAAGCGCTCGCAGAGCCAACAAGAAACGAATCTATCCGATTCCGGGCCTGTTTTCGCGCGACATAGTGTGTATATGCAGTCCATGTCAAGTCAGCAAAAAGAAAGAAGTGAATTATTAGGACAGAAAAGAACAAATTCAAAAGAATCCACAACACTAAATTTAGCTACAAATTTAAGAAATTTGAGAAAACTTTTCCGTTGCGTTTCACTGTAACAAGAGAGCAAAAGAACAAGAGAAAGCAAAATCAAACTGGGAGCACGAAAAAAAGATAAAATAAAAATCAGAAAAATTATATCTTATATTACACGCAAAATTTATATTACTGAAGCAACGGTGAACTAGCCAAGAGAAAGTCTGTTAACACCAAAGGAAGAAAAAAACAAAAACAATTCGAGAGAGAGTTACTATTGCGAGCACAAGTGCTAAGCGCAAGAACCAAAACGAAAATCATAAAATTTTGATGTAATTAATATAATTCTTACACTTTTACACCTTTAATACTTTTATATTTTTACAAATAATTAGCTTTAAACGCGTATAAAACGATAAGAAAAATTTAGGTAATAGAAACAATCAAAAGCGTACGATCTCGCGCGCGTCAGTTGCCAGGCTGATGTTGTTCCTGCTCTACCTATATCTTTCTATCGCTCTCCTAAATACTTTTGGTAACTGTATGATCCCACCAGCATATACCCTCTATCTTCAAAAGTGTTCTTTTATGATTTGTCATCAGGGCCGTCTCATGTCATCGACACTACTCTTCTTCTTGAGTTCAACCTCAGCACTGATTTCGCTCAACCCCTTTAAAAGTAGGGTGTAAACTCAACGTGTGTTAACCATGCTGGTTTTTGCTATCGTCGTCTCTATATCGTTCCGCACACGGCTCGTTCGCTTGCAATATACCTCTTTTTTAGAATATCTTCCCGCCCGAGCCCTGCTTTTAACGTTTAGGCAAAGAATAACTAATGTCTGTCTATAAGGTCAACTTTCAAGAAAATTTATGAAAATAAAACACTTGGACTTTTGAGTTTCTTCAGTAAATTATATTTGTTACTTTTCTAAAACATCGGCTTATAACTGATGGATTACCGTGGATCAGGGTCAAAACAGTAATGCGGTGAAATCCAAGTGTGTTCAACTACACCTTTACAATTCTTTTACTTTCTATAGTTTTCTTAGACTTCGCGTTCCAGCCTTTTCTTATTTTTACGATTCTGTAAACAAACATTGTGTGTTACGGCAACCATATCTATAAACTGGCGGTACCACTTATTGGTCGTTAAACCTTTTTCAATTAATTTTACAAACCCTACCAATCCAGATAATATTTGAAGTAGCTAAGCTGAGCCAGCCAACTCTCTAAACAGGAACAGGGACTAGGTTGAAGCAACCATTCCCTATCCGTAAATTCAAACGGTCATAAAAACAAGAAGATTCCTTACATTTTAGCGACCGTAACACAACTGAAAGGCAATTTGTGTTGGGTGTGTTAGGCCTCTTCATAGCTTTTCCATATTTTACGAAGAGCGTATGTGGATATGCAGAAGAATTGTTTTAGCGACATTAATGTGTATGTATTTGGAGTAGGTATATTTTAATGTCAATGCTTAAAATTAGCGTAATGTATGAGCGTTTTTAGAGAATTTAAGCAAACGTACGTGTAAGTAAAAAAACTGTTGAAGCATTATGGAAGTACAAATGGGTACATTCTTACAGGGATTTTATTTAAATTTTTGTTAATAAATGAAAGAAGATAATGAATGCGTACAGAAGACCTATATGCATGGTGTGGAAGAATTTAAGTTTACAAGCTTGTATATTAATAAGCCTGGAAAATAATAATAATTTATTTATAATTAGCACACTAAGCATATCCCGTCCTACCGTCCAAGTCCTTTTATCTGATACGCACATCGCTCTTATTAAAAAAAAAATTAATCCAGCAGGTTATAGCGTGCATTATCTTTGCTCTACAATTAAGGCATTTTTATGCAAGTTATATATCTTCATTTAATCAATATACAAAAAAGTTTTAAACATTCTATATTGGTTATCTTATGATCAATAAGCGTAAAACCTCAAAAAAGTGAAAAAAGAGAATTTAATGACTTGTAAACTTGCATGGGTATACTGATGTTTCCCATTTTTGCTTATTAATAATAAAGCATTTTAAAGTGTTTGGGTGTGACTGGAGGTAGGTTCAAGCTGGGCTGGGTGTAGCTTCAAACTGAACCGCCATTGTGGCGAAGCACACAAATATGAGAACGTACCCTTTTGTGATTTTGCATCCCCTACATACGTATGGTTTTATATTAAACGGATCGGAAAAATCAACTCTAGTATAAGAACGTGCTTTTCTGGAGGCATTGCTGCCATAATTTACTGGGTTTTTACCTTTTTGTGTAGTAAACATGTTTTACAACTATGGAAAACCATTTCTAGCAAGTTCTTTACTTTAAGCACCCAAAATTCAGACCGGGTAAAACGCATCTTAAGAGAGATATATCCCCTTGTAGTATACAAGTAGGAACATCTTTAATTAGAAGCCGAGTGAAATGAGCTGCATATGAAAAAACTTTTGGAAAATATTGATTATAACTAAGAGAAGTCAGTTGCACTAATCGACCATTCATACGCATGATCTCTTTCGAATCGATAAAAGGGTTAAAATCACTCAGTTTACTAGCTTTCGGTAGCAGTAATTTTCAAGACAAAATATCATGTTCTGAAAAATAGTTCTTTTAACATAAGATGACCAACTGGGTTTTAATAGATTCCAACTCAGAATGGGTTATTAACCGTTTGAGTACCAGACGGTTTTGATAAAACACTGTCGAAGAATCCCAAGCAGCGCGATCGCGCTGTTTAGGTTTTATGTCGAGAAATACCAAGCGGCGCCATAGCGCTTGTTTAATTTTATGTCGAACTAGTAAGAACTACCAAGCGGCGAGATTCGCGTGTTTTTTTCATCGCTCCGTCACTTCTATCGCAGTTTGCGAAGTGATCAGACGTTTTCTTCAGTTAATATTTCTTTACATTATTAATAATTGTGTATTTTAAAATGATTACACGAAGCAACGCACAAATTAAGTGAAAAATTAATCTCGATTTTCTATTTAACTTTTCTAAATTTATTACATCCCTAAATAGGTATAAAAAATCGAAAAAGAAAATCTCTAAGGACAAACGCAAATACATGTGATCGTATTATCGTCGACGATGACGACTGCATTGTTCCGGTAAAGCGCATCAGACAACAAATTCTGAGTAGTTCAGAGGGTAGCGATGATGATTTATCGCATCAAAGTTCGTTCAACAATTTACCAGTTGCTGAAGACGTTTCGAATCACCATGATTCTCTGGAGCCTTGCGAAGAATCTGATTCGCGATCTAACTTCCCCAGTCTGAGTAAACCGATTGAATTTTTCGAACTATTCTTTGATTCGACACTGTGGGAATTAATAGGTCAAGAAACGAATAAATATGCCGAGTATTCAAGACATTCACCTAGAGAATTAAAATCCTTTGAAACAGAGATTTGGACACCCGTTACCGTGTTTGAAGTGAAAGCATTTATAGCAGTACTATTAGAAATGGAAATTACGAGAAAACCTAATATTTCTTCATATTGGTCTGAAAATTCCCGTAACATACCATGGTTTCGAAGAATGTTTTCTCGAAATAGATTCCAACATATTTTAAAATATTTTCATTTAGTTGATAATTCGTTATGTTTTCCACCTGGTCACGCAAAATACGAACCCTGTGCGAAATGTAAATCACTGGTTGACCACGCTAATAAGGTATTCAAATTACATTATAAACCGCACATACAATTATCAATTGATGAGTCTTTAGTTGGAACGCAGTGCCATTCTAGCATAACACAATATTTGCCAAATAAAAAGCATCATCGTTGGGGAATCGAATTCTGGATGCTGTGTGACTGCGTTTCGAAGTATTGTTTGGCGTTCTCTTGCTATAAAGGTGCAAAAGAAACAATTTCTACCGATAGAAAAAAGTTTGAGTACGATGTAGTGGTGAATTTACTGGAAGATAGTAAATGTTTGAATAAGGGGCATCACATTTTTGTGGACAACTTTTTTACTAGCGTAGAATTAGCTCGGCATTTATAATCTATGGGCACCTTTTTGACTGGAACAATTGGAAGAAATAAAACATGTATTCCTGATCACTTGCAACAAACTAACGTAAACGAGGTAAAATACTTTCGAAGCAATGAAGTCTTGTTCTGCGCGTTTCGCGAAAAAAAGTCTGTAAGTAGACCTGTATTATTAATTTCAACAAAAGCAGAAGAGGAAGATGTAACGATAACCAAAAAACGACATGGCAGAGAAAAACGTTCCACAAAACCCGCTATAGTTCAATCTTATAATGACTTCATGGGTGGTGTCGACGAATCAAACAAAATGCTATATATCTACCTCGATGAACGAACATCGGTTAAATATTGGAAAAAGGTAGCTTTTAATATAATCAACCGCATGGTTTTAAATGCATGATTTACAAAGAAAGAAGAAAAGCCAAATCTCGGTTAGACTTTATGTCAAGCATTATTCTTGAAATTGAGCATCAGTGGTTGAATGAAAAACAATCACTTAGTTTTAAAGAGGAAACAATTTGGATTAGAAAAGCTGCTAGGCCGTAATTTGCGACAATGCATCGTGTGTAGCACCAAAACTGTAATAAAAAGATCGCATTTAATTTGTGCGCAATGTGGAAAAGGAATTCATCCGGTATGTTTTGATAAACGCCAATGCTACAAACCACAATGTATTTAAATTGTTTGTTAATAAATATTTCAAGTTTGTTCCACAAAAATTATAGAAAAAACAACACCAAAATAGAAATTTTTATTTTGTAATGTATTATTGCACTATTATAGTACTATTGTAATTATATTGCGCTCGACTTCGACAATACGTAACGCATAATCAGTTGTCGACAATACTCAAAATGTGCTGGTATTTCTCGACATACAATGTAAGCAGCGCAATGGCGCTCTCTCTGGAATACATATAAGACCAGTTTCATTACCTGTCTGGGACTATACGACTTGTCACAAGTACCACCCAATGACAAGGGGACTTCTGCAGTCAATAGAGTAAGAATGTTGAATCCACCTACAGTTGTAGAAGGTACACAGAAAGATTTAATTGTGATCTCAAGGAGTCAACCAACTTGGCCAGAAGTTCCACGCCGCATAGCCCTTTCCGTGGTAACGACATAAATTTAATGGCAACTACTTTGGTTTTAGCCTTTATTAATGGGCATGTATGTTTTCGGATTAATCTTCCGTACGTATAAAATTAGTAGCTGGGAATACATTTTCCGAGGTGTCCCAAAAACCCTGTAAATTCACTTTAAAGTTTGGGCAGTAACCAATACATAGGGACCCTTATATTTTCGATGTAACGATAATCATCAGTAAAAGCATTCTAGTGGGGAACAACTAACGGGTTTACTGCTTCATCCCAATCTGGTTTATCCTGTCAAATTTCTAGCATTATGATTGTTGGCACCATTGTTTTAGAAGCCAGCTGTCCTCCTGGATCCTAAATGTTGGCAATTTCTAAGAATGCTTTTTGTAATAGCAGCTTTGTTCGGAAAACTAGCTGGTTCGATATAAAAATAGTCTTGAGCGACGTTCCAATTAAGACCTAATGTTTTCGTCTTACTATTGTGTAATAGGTTTATAAATTCCTCTTCCACTATATAATCTTGACGAATGTTTCGCGATATAATGGTGTCGTAAGCAGTACACTCTCGTAAAAGAAAACCAGCTGATTTTAAGACATCGTCATTTTTACCAGGCAGAATATTATCAACATATATGCGAGACGTTATAAAAATACCTGCATCAGGATATTATCTTTCATTTTCCTTCGCTAGCGCTTATAGAGCCCGAATTGCAAAACACAGTGCGCAGCCTATGCCGAAGTTTCGTATTTGTTTGTAGCTTTTCTCAATGTCAGCATTAAACACGTAACGAAGGAGACCCCATCTTAAAATGAAGACAGTTACATCGGCTTGAAAATTGGGTCTGGGTATAATATGTCATTGAGACTATAGCCATTTGTTGTGAAATGAGAGGCGTTAAAAACTATACGTAATTCCGTAGAAGTACTTCGGGTCTTAAATACTACATGATGGGGTAGATAGTAATCGCGATCTACAATGAAATTTGGATGAGGATTTGCCTTAAAACTTCGTATTATATAGTATATTAAAAACGACAAACAAGTTGTTATAAGACGCGGTAACAGAATCAAATAATGATGGTACTTGTTGTTGTGGAAGATCTAAGGTGCAGACTCTGTGCTTGGTTGCTATAATTGTAATATGATACAAATATTGAGCTGGGCTTTACGTGTAAAGCTCTTTATTTCACTTACTTGTTTTTTCGACGTTATGAACGACCAATAATAGTATAGGGAAAAGAAAATTTCAATAAAAAGTGTAAGCGCTTTGAAAAATAATCGCTAAAGCAACAAGGGAGGTTTTTCTAAAACATCGATTTGCGAACAATGACAACAAAGTGCGACTCTTACCCACAATTTATACGCAAGAAGTAACACAAATGAATCTTATTATTATTATTATTACTATTTTAATTTTAGACTAATGCAATAAATTCTTAGACTAAAAAAAATTAATTGAGCACTAGCAACATAGGCTATCGGCTCTAATTTAAATAAATGTACATTAGATAATGAGTTTAGTAGTATTAAAAAAGTAATATATTGAATTGATATTCTGTTCTGAAGCTGATTGTAGAATGTTCAAAGGGTTAATCGTTCCAAATGCAATACTTCTAGCCGAGGAAAAGTTGAGGCAATCGCAGAGAATGTGCTTTATAGTAAGAGTTTGTCCACAACAGCAGATTGGGGAAGAAGACTTCTTCAGGATCTATTGGTGAGTTGCAATTGTATGACCAAGGCGAATTCTCGAGAATGTTTGGATCTTGGTTTTCTCAACGTTTGTTGGATATAAAGGTGGAGTTAATTGAGGGTTAATAAAAGAGTAGTGTTCATGATGGTATTGTAAATTTCCGTCTGCAATTTTCTCTTTAACTTTTCTTCCAATGTATCTTTGAAGATCCCACTTCTCCGTGACATCATCCATAATTAGAGGAGCAGAAGCAGCATACTTTGCCGCTCGATCAGCCTGCTCATTTCCCAATAAACCGATGTGACTTGGTACCCATAACATTTTAATTTTTCCGTCGGGTGTAGTAATTATATTCCTTAATTTGTTGATGGTGCTCCATCTCGAAGTCGAAGGGTTCCGAATAACTTGTAATACAGACAAATTGTCTGTAACAATGACGGTTTTGAATTTGTTTTTATGGGCAAGGTTCACAGCGTGAAGGATAGCTTTGGCTACGGTTGTGAAAGTTGAAGTACTTTTGTGAATATGTCCTGTAGCATCTACCACGGCACAAGCGGGAGGCAGGCCAAAAGATTTTGAGCCGTCTGTGTATAAAAGATTCCAACCAGTACTCTCCAGTACTTGGATTTTTTCAGCTATTAGATTTCTGAAGACGTAATCTGGAGTATCTTCTTTCTTATGCATAGACAGGCAGATGTCAAAAGGGCAGTCTTTCAAAATCCAGGGATGTTTAACACCAAAAGAGCGGGAAATTTTTAAGGTAATGCTCAATTCCTTTGCGACGCACAAACAATGGTCAATTGCAGACGGTGACTTTGGAATTTTCTTCGCAATAATAATCTTTTTCACGTCATCACCGACAATAGATTTGTTTGAATTAGGAAACTTGGGGACTATTTTAGCTTTTAACTCATAAAGTCTGTTTTCTAAAGTTGGGAGACCAGTTTCAATCATAATATTATATATGGGCGTCTTCCGAAAAGCATAACAACTTGCTCTGGCGGCTTGGTGATAGACCGGTTTAAGGATGTTGATATTAGATTTGCAGCTATTGCCATAAATTATCAAAGCATAGTCAATCTTGCTTAACACAAGCATTTTGGTAAGATAAGCAATAGTATTAATATGCGCATGGGTTCTCCAAGCAACGCACTGTATGAAATTCGCCCTTGTTAAAATAGAATTTTTTAACCGAAGACAGTGTGCTTTCCAACGATATTTGTTGGAAAAAGTGACCCCGAGAATATGCAGCGTCTGCGCTTTTAGTACTGGTAAGCCATTAATATGCATCAGTAGGTTCCCTGCATCACACACTTGTTTTCGACATATGTGCATTTTTTTTGATTTTTGTATAGAAATTTTAGCTCCTGACGAGTTTGCCCATGCGGAGATTTCTGGTGCAATAGATTCGAGGACGCTGATTGTGTTCGTGTTGTCTTTTTCTTTTGTAAAAATGTATACATCGTCCGCGTAGAGACAATGTTCCACTCTTGATACACGGCAAAGAATTTTGCTAATTTCGTTGAAGGCGATCTGGACAAGCGTGACAGAGAGAGGAGATCCTTGCGGAATGCCATTCATTAGCGGGAAAGAATCAGAGAGATGATTGTTCATTCTAACTTTGAGCCGCTGATGCGACATGAATGATTTGATGTAGTTGAACAATTTGGGTCCAACATTCCATGATTTCAAGAATCTTAAAATAACATGAAGACCAGTTCTCTCAAATGCTTTTTCGACATCAATTGAGAGAATTGTTACGTGATTTCGTTCGGAAATTGCTTTATTCGTGAAATAATCAATACGTAAAAGAGCGTCTATGCACCCTCTACCCCGCTTGAAACCAACTTTTTGCTTTGTAATCAAGTTTTTGGACACAAAAAACCAAGATAATCTAGATGCCATAATCTTCTCTAATACCTTCGAGAGGCAAGATAAAAGAGAGATTGGGCGATAGTCCGATGCGATGCACGCATTTTTTGATTTTCGGATTGGAACAACTGCAGCCAGTTTCCACATGTAGGGTATATGGCCAGTCAAAAATACCGTATTATATAGGTCCAGTAATTTCTTTTTACTAGACTTGGACATAGCACTGATCATTTTGTATGAGATGCGGTCTAGACCCTTCAAATTGGAGAGACAACTTCCAAGTTCTGATGGAACAGGAACATGGCACATCTATCAATATTATTTGAAGGAGATATTGGAGTCCTTTTATTTT